CAAATGTGATCTTATTTTGAAATACAGTCTTTGCAGATAAAATCAAGTTAAGATGAGGTCCTATTGAATTAGGATAGGCCCAAATCCAATGACTTGTGTCCCTATAAGAAGCTGGAAATTTGAATACAGAGACACAAAGGCAGACACACACACGGAGGGAAGAAGGTCATGTGAAGACGGAGGCAGAGATTGTAATCACACTGCTGCAAACCAAGGAATGCCAAGGACTGCTGGCAGCCACCGGAAGCCAGAAGAGGCAGGGAAGGATTCTTCCTTAGAGCCTTTGGCAGGAGAATGCCCTGACAACATCTTGATTTCAGATTCTAGCCTTCAGAACTGTGACAGAATAAATTTCTGTTGTTTTAAGCCACCCAGTTCGGGGCAATTTGTTACTGCAACCTTTGGAAACTAATGTATCAGTCCCAGTGACTCACTCACTCATCCCCAAACTCTGGTTCTGTGGATTTCCAAGGCACCAGCAGCCAGAAAGAGCAACCATCACTTTGGGAAGGCTGGTTGACCCCAATCATCAGAAGGACAGGGCTGTTGTTACACCGTGGGAGCAGGAAGGAATATGCTTGGCACGTGGGTATCTGCTGGGGTCCCTCTTAGTTTTTCCCTTGCCCAAATTTGATGGTAAATGAACAGCTGCAGCAATTCTGGTCCGAGAAGGGCCTAGTGACCAGGGGACCAAGTCTCTTAGGGATGGAGGCCTTGGTCATGCCACAGGTTAGCCACTTAGATCAGCAGAGGTTCAGGCTGCGAGTAAGGCCGACCCACAACGGATAGGAGGAGAAGGAAAATGAGAATCCGTCCCAGCCCCAAGACCAGCTGCAGCAGCAGGGGATACAACTTGTGTTTTTAATTTTCCTCTCCTAAATTATACCCTCTTCCAAGCCCTGGAAGTGAGGTCCACTGGAGTCCTGGTCCCTACAAAAAGACACAGGTCTGAAGGTGCGTGGCATGGACCACAGAGGATTTTCTAAGAGCTGCTGGCTGGATCCCCTTTCAGAAATGATGGGCTCGTTGCCCAGCTGCAAGGATCGCTGCAGAAGACATTCCTCCCCTGTTCACTCTCTAAGGCATGTTCAGCCTTTGCTGAAGAAAACTGTCCCACCCAAGGTCACATCTTCTAGGGGCCGTCTGTACGCTAACGACCTAACAATGCAGAAATATTTTACATTGCTCCCAGCCCCCTTCCCTCAGCTCCCCAGCATCTAGACACATTGAACATTTGTGAAATGAATTTGTCTAATTATGTAAAGATTAATTGGATAATTGCACAGTGTTTCATAATCCACACAGACTTGTAGTTTCTCCCTCCTGGTAGACTCCACAATCACCGGGAAAGCTTTTAAAATATCCTGGTATTTGGGGACCACCTCCCAGAGATTTTTGTCTTATTGATTTGGTGTGGGGCAGAGCACAGGTACTTTCTAAAACCTTTCCAGGACGGTTAGTGTGCAGTTAGTATTGAGAACCACTGACAGACGCAGGTCAGTGGGGAGTTAGGTGAAGAAAGGGACCCTGAATATTTATCTTCCTTGTATTTATGTTTTCGCCAATTTACAGTTATTTGTTTTATCTCACCAATGCCTCAGGGATTTCAACAGCATTAGTTCCCTGATCTGTAGGAAGCACTTATGAATATCAGCTAGAAGGTTTCTTTAGGGCGATCGTCACATTCTAGCATTTTGGTTATGCTCTGTACGGACTTTCCTGTCTGTCTGTTTCTGGTCCCCTACCTTGGAAATCTGTGTCACTTTGGTCTGCCTAGACAGCTGTTCTCCTTCAGCTCTGGCCTTCAGCAATATACATTGACCTCCATCCCTGCTCACTTCCGATCTCAAAATTCCTAATCTAATAGTTGGTCCCACCTCTGCAGGACACATCATCAACTACTGTGCCCTCCTTTTCCCACTGCTCCATGGAAGCAGGAAAAATGGGAAGAGGGTGATACATTTGCTTCCAGTTCTACTCTTACAGATGGTACCACAGAAAACTTTAGAAGGGGTGACTTTAAATCAATTTCCCAGGAAATTTTCAAATTCATCCAATTTTTAATTTTTTTATTTGCGAGCAAAGAACCATGTACACATGTATACACAACACTAAAACCCTTCAAATAAACTTTCATCCTAGGAATTGACTTCATTTGAAATCTCTTCTATTTACCACCACTTTCAATTACCAGATGGTAATCTCTACTCAAACTAGGTCTGAATTTCCTGTGCTCCTCTCAGTCGGATGAACACTAAGAGCTACTAATGATTCCTCATGGGAGTTTTATGAAGGTAGAGGAACTTCTGTACTTTCTTCAATAAACAACCTGATCCCTGAGATTTTTAATGAGACAAACTATTTCCCATCTTCTTTACCTATCTGTGACCTCGACTGCAGAAGTATTTCCACTGTTGCTTATTTAAATCATTTTTCATATTTTACTGCTGTGAGAATACTAGGACCTAATGTTTACTTTTCTTTAAATTACATTTTAAAAATGATACTGTATTCACTGAAATGATGCATATTTAGAGATTACTTTTAAATTGAATTTTACCAAAACTAAAATAGAGGTTGCTTGCAAAATAATCTTTTTCCTACTGAGTATGATTATTCAGCTATTTATGGCTGATGTGTCACCAATGCAATAATTTATTTTTTACAAAGATTCTTAGTGCCATCTGTTATCTCAGCAATGATTTCAAAGACAATTTTTTTTTTTTGAGACAGCCTCACTCTGGCACCCTGGCTGGAGTGCAGTGGCATCATCATAGCTCACTGAACCTCAAACTCCTGGGCTCAAGCGATCCTCCTGCCTCAGCCTCCCGAGTAGCTGGGACTAGAGGTGTGTGCCACCACACTCTGCTAATTTTTTATTTTTAGTAGAGATGGGGGTCTCCCTCTTTCTCAGGCTGGTCTCGAACTCCTGACCTCAAGCAATCCTCCTGCCTCCACCTTCCAGAGTGTTAGGATTACAGGTGTGAGCCACTATGTCCAGCCGCAAAGACAAAATTCTTAAAAAGAAATAAAAAAAACAAATGTACTCACCAGCAAACTGGTTTTAACTGATCAACACTTAAGTGCACATATAGGAATAACATTTATTGGGCGTTGGGCAGATGGGAGAGGGGAGGAGGGGATGGGTATATAATACATAATGAGTGCGATGTGCACCATCTGGGGGATGGACACGCTTGAATCTCTGACTGGGGGGGAGGGGATGCAAGGGCGATGTAACCTAAACATGTGTACCCCCATAATATGCAGAAATAAAAAAAACATAAAAAAAGAAAGAAATGAAGGCCATGCACAGTGGCTCACACCTGTAATCCTAGCACTCTAGGAGGCTGAGGTGGGAGGATTGCTTGAACTCAGGAGTTCGAGACCAGCCTGAATGAGAGGGAGACCCCATCTTTACAAAAAACAGAAAAAGTTAGCCAGGTGTGGAGGTATGTGCCTGTAGTCCCAGCTGCTCGGGAGGCTGAGGCAGGAGAATCGCTTGAATCCATGAGTTTGAGGTTGTAATAAGCTATGATAATGCCACTGCACTTTAGCCCAGAAGACAGAGTAAGACCTCTGTCTCCAAAAAAAAAAGAAAAAAGGAAAGAAAGAGAGAAAGAAAGAAAGAAAGAAAGAAGGAAAGGTAAGCCCGCATTAAATCCTGTAAGTTAACATTCCAGACCAGCACCAGACCAGCATCCTTCCCTATCTTATTAAATTATCTATCCCTGTGCTGGCTTTTAACCTGTTTTAAGTTAAACCATTCTCCTAACACATCTCCGAAGGTCTATTTTTGCTTATTGTTTCTTTCTGTTTTTCTTCCTTTTAATTACAGAATCTTGTATTACCTACATTGACCCTACCTATAAATCACAGTCCTCCAAAGAGAAATGAAGATACCTTCTAATAACTCTAAAATCGTTTCTTCACTGAAACTTTACTCTGTTTAAATGTATTCTTGCCAAGTATTTTGAGATTGACGAAAGGGTAATCTCTCTCTGAGAATTCAGGGTTTTAAAATAATATGCATGAGATACAAAGCAAAATTTTCAATTGGTAGCAAATTTAGATTTCATATGCCTGTCCATTCTGCAATTAGATAGATGGATTTCATTCCTCTACTCTTCTCATTTTTATTAGAACATTAAAATGCCACAGCCAAGCCAATGCAGTTCTTGAAAACTCAAAAAAAAAAAAAATCCCTATGGTATTATTCAGAGAAATTGGTATAATCTTGTGCCTACAGCTTGCATTTTTTTAGGAGCTGGAGGGGAATCCTAGACTAGAAGACACTACATAATAACTTGGACTTTAATCTTTTCTAGGTAGCATTTTATGATTTCAGAAATAAAAGATTGAGGACCTTCCCTTGGAAATTTAGTTCACTGCAAGAATTTTCTTGCTTATGCTAATCTTAATTTCTTCTATTGCAGTTGTTGATACTTGTTTATTTGAAAAAAAAAATTAGAAAGGAATACATATTTCCTGACCAAAAAAATTAACATAAAGAATTTTAAAAAGTATCAATTTAACCATCCAAGGATACTGAAAACAGTTAACACACATATATGTAAATATATACATACATACATACATACATGACACAATTGAGACTAAAATATAAATTCTTTTTTATATCTTGCATGCATGTACTGTCAAACTTTTTTATCTCATAAAACATTTCAATTGTGCAATTTTAATAGCTCTACAATATTTTAACTTATTTAAACTAGTTAAACCCAACTTATCTTTGTTTAAACCACTCATATCTTAATTCTCCATTATAAATAATGCTGCAATCCTATTTAATAAATATTTAAATCATACATGATTCTTTCCTTAAGAAACATTCCCAGAAGCAAACATATTACCTAAATACTATGAGTGAATTTTCAAATTAATTTAAAAAATCTTGGCAGTTAAAATTAAATTTATAAAAAAATAAATAAAGATAAAACAATTTAAGTGTACGAAGCATAAAAAGAGAAACTGTTTACCTTGTGCAAAAAGAACAGGATGAATTTTAAACCCTCCTCCATTTTTCAACCGTTGAGGCAGTTGTTCAAAATGGTAACTGTCAATGTAGAAGTAAACTTTCAGAGCTTGACGACTTCCTTCCGCTTGATATGTAAGAGGAACATCTAAAATGACATTTAATATTATATTACTGCCTAAAATAAAGACATGGTATATGATATACTTGTTAACTTTTAAAAATAAATCTGAAAATTACTAGAAACTAATATATTAAAAGTGCTTGTGTGTATCAAGTTCATGTTAAATACACAGTGCTGTTCAGTGGAAGGTATTAAATCAGATTCTCATTAGCTAAAGCAACAGATTTATTACTTACTGTACTGCATATAAAATTCTGTAATAAGAAACTTTGTTACTTTGACATACCAGGTGTCTCACTTAACTAAGTGAGGAGTTTAGCTACACATGGTTTGGATTCAAAATATCCCAGGGCAGTTGCCTCATTCATATTTTACTCAAAATGAGTCCTTGGGGTATACTTTTTAAGTACTGTGCAAGAAAATGAGTATGTAGCAACCATTATCAAAATTAGCACCATTTTGCAAGCTCCATTCCCTGTACACCAGAGCAAAAATGTATTATCCTCTGTTGATGCCCTACAGTCATTAAAAATTGTCCAAATTCTTGTAGCTATTTTCAAAGAACCTAGATTTAATTACTTTCATAAAAAAAATAAATGAAAGGCTAAAATGCTGTAGGATTATTTCACAATGTTATCATAAATCCTCTCCATTTTATGATATTTATGCATGATGAATATTTCTACCTCATTAAAAAAGAGTATAAAAATCTCCCTAAAAAGCAAGAATAGTCACATTAACCAGTTAAAAATTAAGGCCAAAACGTACTTGGTATGTAATACATGTTATCGAATCAATATTTATTACTTTTAACCTGCTTCTTTCAGTAAAACTGATACAAAATTAGAGTTCAAGGTTAAATGCCATTTATGATACCAGATTCCAGGCTCCTTATTAAATTTATCTACTCAATTCTGCATATGAATAGAGGACACATTTCATTAATACTTATGAGTCTTTTTTATGCCATATAAAATGCTTATTTAATTTTGTTATTATTCTTTTAAAGGAAGACACAAAGAATTAGGTTTAGGAAAGAGAATAAGTAAGTTTCTTAGCCTAAGAGTTGGAAGTTAATAGCATTTTAATAATGGGAAAATCTTTTACTTTCCTAGGTTTCTAAAATAAAGAAAAAAGATCCATGGATACTAAAGAAAATACAGATTTATACCCACTAATTATTTGTACCTTCTAGTTCCTCTTTTCATATACTGTCTCTCACATATATTTTAATTTATGTTAAATTCCATACCCTTACTCTTTGGCATCAATGTAACCAATCTCTGTGTTAACAAATGGATAATGTTATTGAAAGGAAAATAATTACACAACAGGTAGAGTTTCATATTATAAGACTAGCATAGAACTAAACAAGATGCTATATTAGGAATTAGGAAACTGAGACTTACTGAAAATTATCAAGTATATTAGTATAAAGTGAAGTTAAAACTACAAGTACTATAAGAAAGAATGGAGACTGTTTCCCTGGAAGCATTTGTTGCAGTTGTAAAAGTACACAATAATTCTCATGAATATAGATAGGAAAATTCTCAACAAAATATTAGCAGATCAAGTCTAACAATGTATAAAATAAATTGTACACCACAACCAAGTAGGATTTATCGCAGGTATGCAAGGCTGGTTCAACATTCAAAAATCAATGAGGTAATTCATCATATCGACAGGCTAAAAAAGAAAAATCACAGGATCACATCAATAGACACAGAAAAAGCATTTGACAAAATCCAAAACTGATTTGTGATAAAAACTGTAAGTCAACTAGAAATACAAGGGAACTTCCTCAACTTGATGAAGAATCTACAGCTAGCATCCTATTTAATGGTGAGAAACCTGAAGTTTTCCTACTAAGATCAGGAACAAGGTAAGGATGTCCACTTTCACCATCCTTTTCAATATCATACTGGAAGTTTTGGATAACAAATAAGAAAAGAAAATAAAAAGTACAAAGATTGGCAAGGAAAAAATAAAACTTTGTTTGCAGATGACACGATCATCAATGTTAAAAATCTGAAAAAATCAGCAGTAACAACAAAAAACTGAAACTAATGAGTAATTATAGCAAGGTTGCAGTATACAGGTTAATATTCAAAAGTCAATTGCTTTCCTATATACTAGCAATGTATAAGGGGAATTTGAAATTAAAAACACTACACCACTTACATTAGCATCCCCCCCATGAAATACTTAGGTTTGCCTCTAATAAAATATGTACAAGATCTGTATGAGGAAAACTACAAAACTCTGATGAAAGAAACAAAAAAAAGAATAGAGAAATATTCCATGTTCATGGATAGGAAGAATCAATATTGTCAAGATGTCATTCTTCCCAACTTGATCTATAGTGTCAGTGTAATACTAAACAAAATCCCAACACGTTCTTTCATGAATATTTACAAACTCATTTTAAAGTTTATGTGGAGAGGCAGAGGACCCAAAATAGCCAACACAATATTGAAGAACAAAGTTGAAGGACTGACACTACCTGACTTCAAGACTTATTATAAAGCTACGGTAATCAAGATAATATGGTATTGGAAAAAGAATAGACAAATAGATCAATGGAACAGAATAGAGAGCTCAGAAATAGACCAAAACAAATATACCAAACTGATCTTTGATCAAGGAGCAAAGGCAACACAACGGAGCAAAGATAGTCTTTTCAACAAATGGTTCTGGAACAACTGTACATCTACATGCAAAAACACGACTCTAGACACTGACCTTATACCCAGCACAAATATTAACTAAAAGTGAATCATAGACCTAAATTTAATATGCAAAACTATAAAACTCCTAGAAGATAACATAAGAGAAAACCTAGATGACCTTGGGAAAGGTGATGACTTTTTAGAAAAAACACCAAGGGCATAATCAAAGAAAGAATTGATAAGCTAGATTTTGTCAAATTTAAAACTTCTGCTCTTTGAAAGAAATGTAGAGAGAATGAGAAAAAAAGCAGTGGACTGGGAGAAAATATCTGCAAAAGACACTTCTGAAAAGGAACTGTTATCAAAAATACACAAATAACTCTTAAAACTAAACAATAAGAAAAAAAACAGGAAGGAGTTGTGGAGAAGAACAAGGAGCAAGATTTTGGCAGAGACTGACCCTTGAAGGATTTGGAGCCTGGTGGAAAGGGTAGGTGGGAGTGTTTACTTTTCCTCAGCTCACAACTATGGCAGGCTGCCATCTCCTGATTTGTTGGAGAGCCCTTCTACCCTGATAATCCAGGTGCTGCTACCATCAGGGATCTGAGAGCCTCTTGGGAGCAGAGCACCCAGCAGTGGGCCCACGTAGGATCACTTCTGCCCACCACAGACCCAAGCTGAGACAGCAGGTGCCATACTGCCTGCACCCATGTGGGTTTCTCTATACTGCCAGGAAAGTGACAGCCCCTCGGTCTCCCTGCCACTGGATCCCACATGAACATTCCCCAGCACCCACTTGGACTGTGACAACCACAAAGGAACAGGGAGACACAGGGGAGCAGCAGGGTTCCCAGGTTTCTGACTTGTAGGGTGGGCTGCTCCAAGGGGACTGAGACTAGGACTGCCATGAAGACTTTTTAGGACAGAGGAAGGTGGAATGCCCACTCTCCTGCACCAGAAAACCCTAGGCTCATGATATGAAGTCATGTGCACCCCTCCCACTGGAGACACAAGTGCAGAGAGGAGTCCACAGAGTAGGAGGGTATCTCCGCCCCAGAGTAGGAACAGCAGCAAAGCCCAGGAAGGCACATGGAGATGGGAACCTCCCCTCCCCCAACCATGCAATGCTGCAGACATAGCTGTCTCTGCTCCAAGCACAAGCTTTTGGCATGGGTGAGCTGCAGGTTTGCAAGTTCTAGGCTTGAGGGGGGTACACCCCGAGTAGCACTCCGCTCACCATGCCCGGGTTCTGCATGGAGGGTGTGGCTCATTTCCCTCCTTTCATGGACAGGCAGTGATTTTTGCAGCTGTGCCAACCCAGGAGTCTCAGCCCCTGGGTCTCTGCGTTGCTGGACCCACAGACAACATTGCCTAGCACCCACTTGCACCACAGCAGCCTTGGGATGCCAGTGGGTCCCGGGAGAATTGTGGGTCTCTCAGAGTTTGGGCATCAGTGGGGGCCACTTCCAGCTGAGAGGAGAGGGCAGCATGCCAGAAGGACCATTAGGCCAAAGGGAGCAGGGCACTAGCTTCCCAACATTCTGGGCCCTCTCTTCTTAATTTCTCCTTGCCCGTACACACACACACTGCTGCTGAGGCAGCTGCGGCTGAAAAGCTGTTTCCACTTGGCACTCGGAGGATTCCACAGGAGTGATTAAGCCAGGGCACTTGGGAGCAGCTGCCCTGCCTCTGACAGAGTGCCTATCACACCCCACCTCCTGCTGTGTGGCCTGGTTCCTAACAGGCCATGGACAAGTGCAGCTCTGCAGCCCAGGGGTTGGGGACTACAGCTACAGAGGGATTCATCCTCGAGAGGGGTTTTAACAGCGCCATCCCATCCTTATAAATGCAGCTCCTAATCGTTGAATGGGTCAATTCGTTTGAAGATTCTTTGACTATGAAGTTGGTAGTTCCCAGTTCCTGGATTGCTCTTCCCTGATTTACTGTAGGGTTGGGTCTTTCCTGTCCTTCAGATCTCAGCTTAAAAGCTACTTCTGCAGAGAAGCCCTCCTCTGGTCACCCCTTAGAGGGCCATCTGATCCTCTTTCTTTATGTATCTGTCTATTTCCATCATAGGATTTATCACATTCCTAACGATCTTTGTAGTGGATTCCTATTCATTGTCTCCCAACTTGGCTGTCAACTCCGTGGAGATAGGGACCATTTCTATTTCATCCACCAGCTCCAGGCACAATGCCTGACCCATACAGGGATAATGGGGACTCCACATATTCATTCTCCTAGCAATTAATCACTATAAAATTACCTATCACCACTGAAAAGGAGAAGACCTGCTGTCATTATACTATTCTCCAAAAAAATGCAGATTTTCCATAAAATAAATTTAATTATAGATAACCTAATCATTTAGATAGTTCATTCCTCCTTTCCTTATTACATAATATGGCACAGGAAGTACCTTGTACTTCCCTTATCACTGAAGTGAGTCTAATTGTCCATTTATTCTTTTGTGTCTCTCACTAGACTCTAAAAACTTGGTTTCATTTTCTTACCATTATATACCTAGAACTTAGTTCAGCACTTAGCTTGTTATTTCTTCAACGGAAATGAAATGTCTTCAGTCAAGACATTTGAGTTCTACTTGCTTGGCATGCCATAATTCTTCAGAATCTCGTTATTCTTTACATGCAAAAGTAACATTACCGGTGATGCTATAAATAGAGCTTTTTGAAAAGAACGCAAAGTAATAAAGTAAGGAAGATGGATTCAAATACTTACTGAATACTACCATAGCCATTTATAATGCTAGAGTCTTCCAAATACATTATTTTATTTAAGTCCCTCAGCCATGTGAGTTAGGGAAAGCTAACATTCTCACGTTTGCAGATGAGAATGGAGGCAGGACTTGAACTCAGGTTTCTTGACTTCAAAGCCAAATAGTCTCTTTACACCTTGGTGCTTCCTTCCCTCTGCACTCAGTCCTTTCTCAGACTTGCAGCCAACCAGTTTCCATTCCAGTGATGTAGAATTAATTACGTATGTCTGCACATATAGAAAGATCCAACCCCATGCAATATATCATAAAACTCTGGTTTTCTTACAACACTTAAGATGTGATAACCCTTGGATGTTGAATAATTCTCTTCCTTCCCGAGCCAACTTAAAATGAGAACTATGTTCCTATCATCACTGTTTTAAATTCATTTGGAATATCTAGCAATGTAGTACTGGGACTAGCCCTGCACTAAGAACTATTTTCAGAAGTCGAGGTTATGCTTCAAAGAAATACATAAAAATGTAGTGCCACATGTATATCACAATTTTTGTGTGTCGCAGGTACATCTACATTTATATACTAATACTACTTACATGGTCTCAATTATCTTTAATATTTAGTATGTGTTCCAATATACCAAAATGAAATCTCTCATGGTGGATATGCAATAAGTAAATATTTTATCAAGCTTATGATACTGGGGCTGCTCCTACTTGCTCAACAGACCATTTGCCAATAATGTCATATTGGAACGATGGAAAACAGTACTGCTGGAAAACAGCACTACTTATAGTTCCTCAGGCAAAGCTCTGAAAAACGTATTGGGTTATATCACGAAAATAGAGTTTTCTCTGCCTTCAGCAAAACTATGGCTACGTTATTCAAGTAAATGAAAATACATCCTGCTCTATACATACCCACAGAAGACCACACAATTTGTTCAAATAATATTATTCTTATCAAATAATACCCTGTGCCAGAAAAATTCTCCCTTGAATTTCTAACTTTGTACTTCTTATTCTCATTCATTGGGGAAAACGAAACTTTGATAAAATTCTGTTCTCTCTACCTTCATAAGTTAATATAAACGGCATCAATTTTTTTTTTTTTTTTTTTTTTACCATCTCCACAGCTACCCTTCTCTTACCTGGGTCATTCAGTAGCTTCCTAACTGGTCACTGGGTTTCTGCCCTTGCTTCAAGAATGTTCTATTCAATACAGGCCGCCTTTTATTATGTAAGTCAGATCCTGTCATTCACCTGCTAAATGGCTTGGTTAGGAAGGTAAAGCTCTTTCAAAGGCCGGCAAACCCTGTTAGTCTGGCCTCCTAGTCTGGCCTCCTCATTGTCCCCACCTCCTGCTCTGTTCCGTCACTCACTGGACTCCAGCCAAGCCGGCCAACTTGCTATCCTGACAGTATGCCAAGCCTGCTCCCACCTGAGTCCAGTGAGTCTGGGACACCCCTCCCCTGACACATGTGGGACTCCCTCCCTCAGCCCTCAGGGAGCTGTTCTTCTTCTAAGTGAGGCTTTCCTCCCTGCTATTTGCAACCTTGCACTTGCCCCTTCGTTTTCATCCTAGCTGTCTTTTACTTCCCCCTTCACATACTTTATATCATTACCTTCTAATTTATTATAAAATTAATTTGTTTATCTTCCTTATTATTTATAATATTTCTCCCCACCTGAATATAAGCCCCATGAGAGATAGTAGTCTGTTTAGTTCTCTACTGAATCCAACGATGAAAATAGTCTCGGCAAGTAAGCATTTAAGAAATTTTTGATGAATGAATGAATGAATATCATTCTGAAATCAAATCATGAATTAAATGAACATTTATTGAATCCCTATTTATTATACTAGGAATGTGAAAAATAAGAACATTTCTCAGCCCTGAAGAAGTTTACATCTTTTATCATAATATACAGCATCCTCACACGTATGAAGAAAGAAGGGGGCACACAAAAATATTAATAATAACAAACTGCTGAAGATTTCCTGGACTGATACATATATTTGAGACCTATTTATGAGAATGTGGAAATAGCAGACAATGATGATATTTAATAACTTGCAGAAACTAAAAGATATGGGCATTAAACCACGGGTATTGCTACTTCTCTGAGATAACTTAAAATAGTGCCTTTATCAGGTTTAATGATGGAAAATTGCTAAATCACAGAGATACTTTTCAATCTTTCAATTCATAAAATCACTGTCTATCAGATATATTAATATCAAAGTTATACCATATGTTACTGTTTGATGCCAAAGAAATCCTACACACATTTAATTACTTACTTGCAACCAGTGGTTCCTCTTCTGATGGTTTAAAGTAAAAGGAAACCTTTTCTAAATCAAATAGTGCAACCAATGTATCTTCCAACATGGCTTGTTCATCTGTCTACAAGGAAAGAAAAACTATGTTTAACACAATACGATATAATGGAATATAACATGACATAATGTAAGTTTAGACCAAAAATAGCTTCACTTGTGTTGTATTTACACATAGGTACAAAACAAAATTATAAACACTTCTCTAAGAATTCACTGCCCAAAATGAAATTAACAAATCCCTCAAAGTTACAAGTTTATTTATTTATTTTTTTTTGAGAGAGTTTTGCTGTGCAGTGGTGTCATCATAGCTCACAGCAACCTCAAACTTCCAGCTCAAGCGATCCTCCTGCTTCAGCCTCACAAGTGGCTGGGACCAGAGGCAAGTGCCACCACACCCGGCTAATTATTCTATTTTTTGTAGAGACAAGGTCTCACTCTTGCTCAGGCTGGTCTCAAACTCCTGGCCTCAAGCGATCCTCTTACCTCGGCCTCCCAAAGTGCTAGGATTACAGCCATGAGCCTCAGCACCTGACCTACAAGTTTCTTTTATGGTTTTATTTCACTTTTCCCCTATTGTTTAAATGGTGATATACACATTTTTTTCCAGTCTATTTTGCAGCTAGATATATTGATTTATTATTTACAAATAAATATACAAAAACCATGCTATTTGCCTCTAACCGTCCAAAATCTTATAAATTATAACTTCTGAGAAGCAAAGTTATTGTTTTAGTTAAAATCTATACTACATAATGGCCATCCTATTTTATAAGATAATTTACTAATTATTCAATTTGTTACTTATTAGAACTGTGATAAAAGTAATTTCCATGTATGTAATTATTTTTCTTCCCAAGAGCTTAGGGGCGAGAATCATGTTCACCTTACTTGTCTTTAAGGGGCCTTAGCCTGGAATCTTGTGAATATTTGATTTGCTTTAGTCATTTATCTCATTTTTACAGCATATGATTTGATAGCTGAGGCAGATAAAACCCTGTCACTGTAACAGATTCCGTCCGTGCCTTAGCGATATCATCTTTCTAGCACTAGAGTCTCGTCTTCCCATTAGCAGTTTAATGCATTCTCTATAGGGTCTTTTACTAACTTTGTTATGAAAATGTAATTAACCTTATCATACACAGCTTATCTTTTAAAGGTAACATTTGTTTTCTTAAGAATGTCAATGATCCTTTTAAACAATACGTTAACATGCTGTATAGAGCATTTTAAAAAGTTGCCGTAAGTTTGTAGCCATATTTTTGGGGCACCATTAGTAGAGGATAAAGGAGATGGTAAAGAATTTCCATTATGTGAAAAAGAATCAGCAAGTTAGCCCCAGGCTCCAAAAGGGCAGAACGGAGACAGACATGGAGAGAATAGTCACCTTTGCACCTTGGTTTGATACTTAATATAGTGCACAGAATACAGTAAGTGCTGGATAAATGTTTATTAAGCCATTATTATTAATATTTAAAATCCTTTCAGGGCCAAGCACGGTGGCTCACACCTGTAATCCTAGCACTATGGGAGGCCGAGGTGGGAGGATCGTTTGAGCTCAGGAGTTCGAAACCAGCCTGAGCAAGAGCGAGACCCTGTCTCTACTAAAAAAAAAATAGAAAGAATTAAGCTGGACAACTAAAAATATATAGAAAAAATTAGCCGGGCATGGTGGCGCATGCCTGTAGTCCCAGCTACTCGGGAGGCTGAGGCAGGAGGATCGCTTGATCCCAGGAGTTTGAGGCTGCTGTGAGCTAGGATGACGCCACGGCACGCTAGCCCGGGCAACACAGTGAGACTCTGTCTCAAAAATAAATAAATAAATAAATAAATAATCCTTTCAAAGCAGCAGAAAAATGCCATGAACCTGGAATGGAAGAAAAGAACTGAAAATTCAGCATTTTTCTGATTGCGAGGAATATACGCAGGAAGAAATGCCCAAGACAGTCCGTGGTGCAGGTCACAATGCTTCAGCGGACACAGCCAAAGCAATACCCAAGTGACCACTGGCTGTGCCTAGAGCTCAGGGACACACATAACGCCAGTGTCTGCACTCCCAGAGAGACATCCACATTCCTAGGTGGATATTGTGTTCTAGTGACAGAGGCAGAGAGACTATGTGTTTCTTTGAATTTTTTTTCCTTAGCAACCTTTGGATTTTTAAAAATCAATTCCTGAAATAAATCAAAGGAGTCACAAGACCACTTTAAAAATAACCAAACAAACAAGCTGCATTGAGATATAATTCACATACTGTAAAATTCACCTATTCAAAGTACATAGCTCAGGGGGTTTTTAGTTTGTTCACAGAGCTGTGCAGCTATCAATATAATCGAACTTTAGAACATTTTCATCACCCCAAAAAGAAACCCAGTACCCATTAGCACTCACTCCCATACTCCTCCCTCCATCCTCGGTTGTAGACAACCACTAGTCTAATTTCTGTCTCTACAATTTACCTGGTCAACATATTTCATCATAATGGAATTAGACAATAAATGGGCTTTTGTGACTGGCTTATTTCACTTAGCATAATGCTTTCTAAGGTCATCCATGTTGTAGCCTATATCAGTCCTTCATTTCTGCGGAATAACATTCCATTACACAGATACACCAAATTTTCTTTATCCTTTCAACAGTTGATGGGCATTTGGGTTGTTTCCACTTTTTAACTACTAAGAATAATCTTGCTTGAAACATTTTGTGTGAATGTTAGTTTCCATTTCTCTTGGATAATACTTAGAAGTAGAATTTCTAGGTAATATGAAAACTCTATGCTATGTTTCATATTTTAAGGAACTGCCAAACTGTTTTCCAAAATGACTATACTGTTTTAAATTCCCAGGAACAATTTACAAGAGTTACAATTTCTCCACATCCTCCCCAACACTTGTTATTATCTGTCTTTTGAATTACAGCCATCCATACCACACATGATATACTTCATTGTGGTTCTCAGTTGCATTTCCCTAAGGATTAATGATGTTGATTATCATTTCATGTGCTTTTTGTCCAATTTTGTACATTCTTTGGAGAAATATCTATTCAAATTCTTTGCCCACTTTTTAATTGCGTTATTTTTCTTTTTTACTATTGAGTTTTAAGGGTTCTTTATATATTCTGCATATAAGTCACATCAAATTATATCATTTGTAAATATTTTCTCCTATTCCTTGAGATTTCAAATAAAATTAAATTTAAAGTAAAAGTACGAGCACTTGATTAGACAATGGCAGTTTTAAAGTAAGGAGAACAGAATAGAAATGATGCCTTATTTATTCATTCACTCATCCAATAAGTACTGCCTACCATGTGTTAGGAAGTGGGCCTCCTATCATATGTAATTTATATCTGATAAGCAATGATTAATATTTATTTTGTTTTTAATCACTTTTCCAAAAATGTCTTACTTCAAATTTTTCATTAATACCACCAAATAAACTGATCACCCATGTGGAGTGAGCAGAGTCTTTTCAAAAGAATCTATTTCTGTTTCTAGGAAGTACTCTGAGAAGGACTTTAAGTTATAATTCCAGAACCGTCTATGGCTGTGCAGTGCAGCAATCAGTTTCCTGTCCTCAACATCATTGAAGAGAAACATAATTTTGTGTATAAATTCATGTATATTTGTTTAAAAATTCAACCATATTACTTAGTAGCTACATCTTCTATGCACACAGATGAAATAGGCTCTCATGATTAAAATCACAATTCTATTTAGTGAGCACCTAAAGTTTGTATATAAAAGTGAACATATTTGCTTTTAAACATCATGACAATTGTCCAAACCACAGAAGGTATATGAGAAAAAACTCTTAAGCTCACCATAGTTTTATTTTTCAAATATTTCATGTTGCTTTCTTCATATCCCTGGTGGAAAACTGATGCATAAACATGGAATAGTCTACAGTAATTAAGGCAATGTTCTTAGATTTAACAGGAAAACATGCATACGAAGGAAGGAACTAAAATTATTTAACATATGCAAATTTTAAACAGATTGCAGACAGTATGGCATGCAACTTGTCTGAGCCGTCTATTAAGCACGCTCCAGAATATCAACCTCCCTGGGAGCTTTCTTTCGTGGCAGGCTGTTTCTTCTGGACTGGGAATAAGGAACACCAGCAGAAAGACCCTTTTTCTTCTGATGACCTTTTCCAGTCAGTGCTTAGGGATACAAGAATTAGTAACAGATGGAGGCTTTCTCAGCTTTTAGCAGCCACAGAGAAGCGATAAAAATCAGGAAAGAAAAAATACATTATACATACTTACTAAAGCTTGAATGACCATGGAAATATATATTTTTTAAAGTAGCTAAATGACTGCAGATGCAGTAATAAAGGAGAGAATGAGGTGGAAATGAATAACCACTTCTTATTTGGGATCATTTTACAACGCAGGTTCCAGTTGACACAGACAGTGGGAGCCATATGATTCCTTACCAAGTTTGGTGACAGAAGTGACTGAAAGTGAAAAAGAACGCCTGCATTTGTTATCTGTTCCAGCCACCTCCTGCTGGCTTCCCAAGTTTCCATCTCATTTTCCTTGCTGTTGTCAAACATCTGGTTTAAGGCCGCCATGAGTTGCTCAGAGAAGGCACAGACGGTGGCCACGAGACTCTGGCAGAAAACCATGTCTCTCCGGAGCTGCGTCTCACTGTCTGTGATCCAAAAGAACATAAAGATGGCTTTGAAAAATGT